AAAACAATCACTGCTTCCTGCAATACTCATGTGGCGTAAAGGCCTGTTTGTGATATGAGCCCTTGTCTGTCTTGTAATGTAGCACCCCTACAATGGAGCAAGATTGCACCGACTAACTTCCGATTGCTAAAAAATCTTATACGGCTTCATGAATCAGCTTTATCATAAACTTTCGACTATTTGTCGACTCCGTCGACTGTCAGCTTTCTTTTCTTTTTTGCTTTTTCCGAAATTCGATTTTCACCTTTTTTCCTTTCATTGACCTTTAATTTATCATTTTTGACTTTTTGCAGATTTGATTTTTTTAGCCATTCAACATTTCACCTTTGGTATTTGACTTTTGTCCCGTTTGAATTCTTGCAATTTTGCGTGCTGCCCTTTTGACTTTTTACTTCTTCCATTTAGCTGTTATGCTGTTTGGTCTGATGTCATTTGACTTCTTGTTGTTTAACTTTTTATCTTTTGACTTCTTTCCCTCTAACCACCCTTAGGTGATTCGGACTCCCTCATGTTACTGAAGAGTTTTTATAACATGTTTTGGTACATCACGGACGCCCTATGAGGCATCGGGGGTGGCTCTTCAAGCCAGCATTACATTTTCAGACCTTGGGGCATCCCCTGAGTCCCCAGGGACGATCCTCTATTGGTCGAGGCCCCCTTTTTAACGAACGTTTTTCTAAACTTCAGAACATATTCTCAACACGCAAGCACTCAATTCTAGCATCACGCACGTTCAGTTCATGTTCGGGACGACATTTTACTAACCATCGCCCTGATAAGAGGGAGAGGCAAGTCAATGCGACCCCCAAGGTCATCTAAAGATACCCCTCTGACATGTCGTGCAATCGGGCCCAAATTTTCAGCAGCCTCTGGGGCATTTATTGCCCGTATTTTGCTTCCCGAAAGAGGTGATTTGGCTTTTATCATTTTCCGGAAAACTACGTTTTTTGGGAACACCTGCGCAGCTATCTGGTGCGGGCGCAGGGCAGGCAACTGACGATTCCGTGGGCCGTGCGCGGCGGGCCGGTGCTGTTAGTCCTACATCATAGGAGTACACTCAGAACGTAAAGGTGCACACCATGGTACTCAGAAATTGAAAAGAAACACAGCCAGTTTTAGTTTTGTGTGACCAAGTGGCATACAGGTGCATCGGTTTTTAAAATCGGTTTGGGGACGCGCTTAGCCGATAATGCTGACTTAACATATTTACAAAACCCGATTTTCCCCGGATTTCGGTCAGGATGCGCAACAGCTGCCCCTGCCGCAGGTAGGCCATGGTCTGATCGATAGTCCAAGGTGATAGGCCCCATTTTGAGATCAACAGAATAGTTTAAAAAGCTGCCTTACTTAACATTGAGGACGCAACTTAAACAGGCCGAAATCCAGAAAGAATCTTTTAATGGCATACTATTCATTCCAACGCGGATCACATAGCTGTGGACAATCGACCTTCAAACTGACAGGTCTCCATTTCGGTCAAGCCAAGGTTACCGACCGTTCATATTGCCACTGCAGTTACTGGCGCTCGCTGATAAGGTGCGCGGCACTTCATGAAAAATATCTTACAGAAAGAACCTGGCGGAGAGCAGCTTTGAAGTGCCGCCTGAAGCTGCGAAAGCTTAACGTGTCGCAATGGTCGGCACTGCCCTCTGACGCCAACTGACCTTCATTGGGCAATAGCACCATCTGACACCGAGGTTTTTCGTATTTTTTTTTTTTAATGAATTTGATCCGAACCCTTTTGAATGGATGGATTTCTGGGATCAGCGCTCACGCTAAGCAGTGCTTGTGTGAGCCCTGAGCACCACCATCCGATCGCGCAATTCCAGGCAACGGCAGAATTTAGCCGCGAAAGCTTAACGTGCCGCAATGGTCGGCACTGACCTCTGACGCCAACTGACCTTTACCGCGACCGCTGCCACCGGCCGCAGGCCATACCCGTCAAGGGCAAATAGCGAGCGACTCGAAGCGACCTAAGCGACCTAAGCGACTCGAACCCACCCCGCCACGGGTTGGTGGATCGGAAGGCAGGCGCTTTAACCAGCTGAGCCACCGGGACGGACCGGTCGAGTTAACGCCAGGCTGAGTGGTGCTATCGGGTAGTGCCTCCTTATCACGGTTATTTCTAAGATTTTCCTGTGAGACCTGTACCACAGGTAGGACTTAAAGCTATCTAGCTGCGCGCAGTAAGAAAGACGGCAGAAAAATGTGACAGAAGCAGTTAGCTAGGCTTAGCTAGGCTTAGCCACAGGGCTTAACGGATAGAGTGCATGCTTCAATTGCACGCGTACGACCAGGAGATTGCGGGTTCGAGTCCTGCTGTGGTCGAGAAATGTTTTGACCTCGTCCAAGCGGCATGCTGTTCAGCTTCCTCGGGCCTCAGTGTATGACAGTCTCGTCCCCCACCCCCATCCCACTCATTTACTGAACCTATTCCGTGAGCGTTGCAGTGTGTAAATTTTGAAAGAAGCATCCTACTAATTTTCTCCCGCAAAAAGTCGACTTATTCGTCCTTACGCAAGCCAAATTCTAACGACTGAAAACGTATGTTACCGAAGGTTCAACGTCCAAAGTCCGGCGAGATTTGTGACAAGTCATCCTGCCTCATGTATGCAACGTGAGTCAATAGGCGCTAAACGCCTCATGTTGATATTGAAAGTTATTTTGAACATTCAAAAATCGTCTAGCAGGTAGGCAGACAAAGCGCACATAGGCAGAAAGCATGCAAACACACCGTCGAACGATGACATGATGAGTTTTAGGCGCGTGGTAAACAAGGCAGCGGGAAAAGTGTGACAGCAGCAGTAAGTTAGGTCATAGATGTGAGTGCCGTGCGACGGTGGCCGCGTAGCCTAATGGATAAGGCGCCTGACTTCGGATCAGGAGATTGCAGGTTCGAGTCCTGCCGTGGTCGATAGCGGTCGTTTTGACCTCTGCTCAGCCGACATTCTGTTGACCTTCGCTGAAGTTCGCATTGGTCCAGCAGGGCATTGCAGGTCTCCCGCCATTCGAAATCTTAAGCGTGCAGGCGTCGGTTACGGGTAGCGGTTTAAATGCGACGGAAGCGAATAGCAGTTTCGAAGTTCGGATGTGTCAGGGCCGTCGACTGCTAATATTGAGCTGCAGTCGCTGACGTGCGGTGATACGGTGCGAGGCGCGGCACATACATCATATTTTTTTTTTGTTGAGAAGAGCCGAGCGAAAGGCGGCTTGAAATAGCTTGCGCAAAGCACTATCTGATGGGTATGCCTAACGTCAGTCCAGCTGACTTTTTAGTGACTGCAGTCATTAAGGTGGTAGATGAGGGAATATGGTCGTCCTTTCTAACTTTAGACCTATTGATGCTAAGATAGGAGGAAAAGCAGTGTTATATCGGTCTTAAACCACATGCCAAAGGTAACTCGTCGGTGGCTGCTATTTGAGACATCAAGTCAGACCATGCAAACAAACAAGATGTGGATGGTCCTTGCCATACAAGGTCATATTCATAGATGCAAACGGCGACTTTTTAATGACCATGCATCGTGCGACAACGATGCAAGCGATGCTGCACTCTGTCCTGCCATGCCTTATCCTCTGCCTTATACCTTGCGGTGTCCTGGTGGTCCGGACTAATTCCCATAGCACTGAATCCTATCATTTTTAGTAACGAGGAGAAATACTGAGAAGTCAGAACCAATGTTGTGCTGTTCCGTCGCTGCGTTCCCTCGCTGTGGGCATATTCGTCCACTTCTCGTCGCTGCGTTCCTTCGCTGTGGGCTTACTAGTCTGGTCCTCTCGTCCGAGCTATCCCAATACCTCCTCCATCGTGTTTGGGCAGCTCGCCAGTCGTCCGCCCGGGCTAAAGACCAAAACTAAAAGCCTAACAGCCACTGGTCTGTACCGTGAGCTGGCCAAAGATGGGTCATCCGCCAACTGATGACGCAGTCTTTGAATTTGCTGCTCAGCAAGAACGGGAGCGAATTTCGTGAGTTCATTCGCTTTATTTGCTCACACCAGCATCTTCAAGCCCTAACTCTTACCCTGGCTTTTGGCCACAGCTGCTCTGGCAGCAGCTCCAGGTGAGGACGCGGGCTGAACGACGTCCCACCGGTGACGGACGTAGTTCAGCCCGCTACGGCGGCCACTCATGCACCAGGGCCTACGCCCTAGCCACCGGGAGCTTTGGCATGCCAGAAATTATACTGTGGAACAAAAGAAACTTCCGAAAGCAAAAGACTTATGATTTTTATGACGCATTATGCTTCATTTATATTTTTGTGGGGCTTATTGCATTCGTAGTTATATTGCAACAGGTTCTGATGGAATTCGCTCCAGGGGACAATTTGAGCTGCTCCCAATTTCATCGGTGACAGCAAAGACACTTTTTCACAGGTCTAGCATATCTAGGCAGAGTGAAAAGGAAACAGGTTTCTGGACAAAACCAGCTGTGCGGTAAAGTCTTCCAGGCAATGGTCTTGAAATCAACTTCTAAAATATAGCAAGGATGCATTAAGCATGTCTTAAATGCAGACATAAATACATGCTTTTTCGGTGACGTAGCCAAGGGCAATTGGAGGATCATACTCCATACCCATGGAGGTGGCGGAGCCTCATTACCAACGCCGAAACACGAAGACATGCAATATTCGTCTCCACAAATGCGATCCAGCAACACACCGACGCCTCTCAAGTTATGGTACTAAAGGTGGATCACTCTGACACTGATCAGTCTGGCAGGGACTCGAAGGCATAAAGACATACCGTGGCGTAATCAAACGAGGAAGTATTGAGCAGCAGTTTTACTAAATAGTGAAATGGTGCTGTTCAGAGCAGTCCTCAACACAAAGCAAAACCATAATTAAAAGTGAGCTTATTCCATCGCATCTGATGCTTGTCTCAAAGTCCCTCAAATGTAGAACATTCCATTCAAGTACTTTAAACTCAGATACCATGCAATGTCCCCTTCGTCAGGTGGAGGTCAGCAAGATGCGATACGCAGAGGTCAAAATCCCTCATTGCGACCACAGCAGGACTCGAACCTGCAATCTCATGATCCGAAGTCATGCGCCTTCATCCATCAGGCCACGCGGTCGCCTAGCATTCGGGGACGAACGGCCTTAGCTCACTCACGGCTGCTGTCACATTTACCTGCCGTCCCCACACACAGCCTGAACATCGTCATATCAGTGATGAACTGTGTGTTGTCATGCTGCCTACCTATGACCTTCGCCAAATGCATGGCATAGACCGCTAGAACTTGATCGATTGGCTTTTTAACACGCATCCGGGTGGCCGGTCGCAAACCTTTCGCCCGGGTGAGAGGTCAATTTGACCCCCTCATGAGATCTCAAAAACTAAGAGAGCTAGAGATACTAAATTCACCGGGTGTTTTGGCTTATACATGAGATTGTTTGTTTCAAAATTTAGGGCTCCTAGGCCATTACCTTCGTGTGAAATAAGGTCAAACAAGGATCAAACTCCAGGATGATATCCCAAGTGCCCATAGAACCTAGATACCTGTTCCAAGCAGAAGATCACTGGTGTTGATTTAAGGTAGGTGACCTTGTTTGACCTTTCAAAGGTCATGCTGACCCAAATTATACAAGACTGCTTTGAGTTCTGCATTTGAATAAACGTAATAGATTACGCTTGGCAGTATAGTTATTAAAACAAACTATTGACTTGCGTAATTTTAGTTCAGTGACTTGTTCTGACCTTTAAGAAGTCCATGTCCAAGTCCAAGTCCAAGTCCATGTCCATGTCCAAGTCATATGAAAGATGTATTATGCGGTTCCTGTCATCAATAAACTCGAAATGAGCACCAGAAACTAACCCATATAGCAGGCTCTAGAGTAACTAAAACGGGTGAGTTTAGACCTCTGTCTGACCTTCATACCTGGCCCTAGGTCAACTGAGTTTGTTCATTCAGTGGTTGTGTGTCTTAAGAAACTATCTCAGAGATGTGTGGCCTCGTCTAGCACACCGCTGTTGCATAGGATTGGGTGATTCCCTAGATTTATCTTCGCTGAATCCGTGGCCTGACTTTGACCTTACGTAGGTCAGCGGCCTAACAAGATGTTGCTAAATTTTTGATACCAAGCAAACCGTTGTTCAATTTCTGTCAGTATGTAAGATTTGGCGCGGATACACCGCGCTGTTCGGAAACCGTTTTGGAAAAATATTAGGAAGGGGGTCAAATTAACCCTACCCCGAGCGCGTGTTTAAACGGTGTAACCCTCCACAGGCGTTTAGCTGCCTTATGACTATTTCGTGGTATACACGCAGTTTTTATTGGAGGTCGATAGCATCGTGCTGCGTTAGGAACCCCGGCCTTATGGAGGTCCGAATGCAGGTCGATAACTATCCAAATGCAGACAATGTGAAGTAGAACCTATTTCACCGCCTGCTTTCAGGCTAAATGGGGAGAGCGTACGTTGACGGAGGTCTGTTGTTAAGGTGTTGCGAATGGAAAGTGCAAAGTAACCTCGGATAGATAGGTGGAGTGGGTCAATTTGAACCCCACCCCCTATGTTTTTACAGACTTATCTCCGAACGACGCGGCAAAGTAACAGAAATAACGATGGAGTCTTAACGGAAGCCATTCATCTCTGAGAGAGTTTCTCAGGCAACATAAGAATCACGTTGGGATCACAGCAAATTAATTGGCCTATGGCTAGGTATGAGAGTAAGACCGAGACAAGCCTAACCTGCTTCTTTGCTGGAGACCTTGATTTATGAGGTAGTATTATGCTCATTTCAACTTTTGGTGATGGCGACTGCAATAGACCTCGTCCATGGGCCTCTGAAGGGTCAGAGTAGGTCGCTGAGCCGAGATGACACCACGTAGCATAACCCTTAACGCACATTCAGCTTTAAAAAATCAAAAATATTTCGCATGTCTTTGGTCTCCATGCTCTTCCAAAGGTCGAACCAGGTCACTGAACTAAACTGAGCACCAGTGACCTTTTCCTTGGATCAACTATCCAGGCTCAAGACGGCTGCATTATGAAGTCTGGGGGTACTTTAAATACCAATCTTGTGCTGGGCTTTGTCACCAACAAAGAACAGCACCAAGCAATGGCGCGACAAGCTTCACACTCGGCGCGCGGTAAACAAGGCGCTGGGAAAATGTGGCAGCAACAATAAGTAGCCTAAGTAAGTACGGGCCTGTGTTCGCGGCGGCCGCGTGGCCTAATGGATAAGGCGCCTGACTTCGGATCAGGAGATTGCAGGTTCGAGTCCTGCCGTGGTCGATGTTGGGAGTCTTGACCTTTACCCAGCAGTTGTTCTGCTGATCTTTGCTGCACGAGTGGGTGTTGCAGGCCTCCCGCGTTTTGAAATCTTGTGCATGCTAGAGACAGGTACGGTTTACGCTTCAGGGGGTTTTACAGTTTGCGGGATCGAACAACTTAGACATTGTCATGAACGAGAATGTTAATGCAAGTAGACAATACAATATCACATATTATTATGCAAGTACACCCCAGGGAAGGATCAAAGTATGCGCACATTACGATACTTGGGTTCTGCCAACAACGCGCCGATAGGGTAACATCTCTCGAGAACTTTAATTGCTACAAGTGTGTCTGCCCGTCCGCTACCAAAGATATTCCACACAGCTAATTTGGCAGCCCCTCTGACGTCATTCAAATGTTCCATGATGTGATCAAGCCATGCGTATTGAGTAGCATAACCATTTGCTAGAGAAAATTGTGTTGCATGGAGACATGTTTTGCACTCTAAGAGTGTTCCACCTTTTGAATCACGTTTTGAGCTGGAATAGCCATCTTAAAAGTCATTTGGTGCAATTTACAGCCTAGTCCTTCTGAAGACCTCAACCACTCCAGTTTCTGAGCTACACGCCTGCGAAGATGTGCGGACTATTTCGTGGAGACTATCTCAAGCTCATGAGGCATTAATGACGCAATGATAACGTCATTCAATTCCCTCATGTTCTTGCCATTTTGCGAGCAAGGCTAGCATAAATATAAGAGTCGAGTCGTTTATAACTCGCGTTCGTGAGCAGTATTTCCAAAAAATGACGGCCTTCCATTGGGTCCCAATCAATGTTGTGCGAAGTACGATGACACAATCAAATAATGACGTATTGAGGAGAAAGTTATTTAATAGAGAAATTGTGTTCTCTACAGCAGTGTTAGAACTTCAGGGTAAACCAGTAGTTAAAAATGAACTTAGTTCATTATGTCTGATGCTTGCCTAACTATCTTCAAATGTGGAACATTCCGTTTTTAATGCATACCAATAGTTGCATGAGTTGTTATTTTATGATGTCTGATGTTTGCCTCCATACGTTTAGCTGTGAAACATGCCCTTAAATCAAGGCGGTGGGAAAATGTGACAGTAGTTGTAAGTCACCACAGGAGGCACGATTTCTTGCCAGCCTTTGACGCCGTTTGGCAAAACCTCAGAAGCGACCTTGATGTATCAAAGTTAGATCGCGAGCCTGAAATGAAGTCCAGAATGGGAGCCTCCTTTGCTGAAACAGCCTCTGTTATTTATATTTCTAGATTCCCGGATATGGCCCCTCTTTGGCGAAATCCTGGCAACAACACTCTTATTAGTCCAGAAAAGTTGTGATATGCGTGGTTACAAAGGCGGAAATGAAAGGCATGGACATGACAAATTTGGACGGTTTGCCATACCGTATCATTCTTTCCATAGCTGATGGTGATCGCTAATCAGTGTATGTCATTTTGCTTCATGATATAACACATGATATAACACTTTATAACACATATTTTTTTGTAACAGACCGATTCGTTTTGGGTGACATCAGCCGCGAAAGAAAAACATGAAACGCGCTTTCACTGTGCCGGACTCAGAGGCGCAGTCTTCAGGCATTCGCGAATTCAGGTTGCGAAGTCATCAGAATGCTCTGCAGCGTCCATCGCGGCGTTAAACGGCAGCCTAACGGTCAATTGTCTTTAGACGCTCCGGAATGTGGCGCGAGCACGCGCTGCGGTGGGCGCGACGGACAACGAAAGATGGGAGCAGACGTAGCGGCCAATGGCGGAGTGGACTTAGTATAGCGGTGAGCGATGGAAATTAATCAGGAGGAGACGGATTATGAAAGGATTGCACAGGTTTTTTTTCTGACGTGGAATGCAATTAAGACTTTTATTTCAGCTGTAAATATGTCACAGCACTGTTGGAAAGAGGAGTGGGTGGGCATGTACGTATATATATATATATATATATATATATATATTTATATTTATATTTATATACATATATATATATATATACATCAGTTTCTTGTACGCATTATTAAGCACATATTATGTGCTTAAAACATCTTAATCTTATGTTTCCATCAAGAACATTGGGTGGAAGATTCCACAATCACTTCCGTCACTAAAACTCCTCTTTCCACGCTGCATGACTGTGCCTATAGTTTTGGAGCCTTTTCAATAATTCAGGATATGAACACCCAATGCAAGTACCTATCAAATTTCGTTGAAGGGAATAACGCAGCGATGGCTTTATGCAAACATTTCCTGAAATTTAACGTCTTGCGCCCTGTAATATCTCTGTTAAAAACATTCCATTTTTAACTATTTAGCGCTTTCGTTACGTTATGCGGAATCGACGAGCGCTTTGCAGGAGAGAATAAGTCGAGTGAATATTGCGACTCCGTTATCAGTAACATCGTGTCACACGATCTCGCCCACGGAGTCGGGGGTCAACGGCAGACACCATAGAATACCCGCCCGGCCGGCGACAGTCAGCAGCATGCCCAATGGCCAGAGCTCAAAAGGCCCTTCACCTACCACTGTAGGACTCGAACCTGCAATATCCTGACCCGAAGTCAGGCGCCGTATCCATCAGGCCACGCGGCCAATACGAAACGGCCTCACGGTTTCTGAGGTGGCTTACTGCTGGGTCACAGTTTTCCGCCGTCTTTTTTATCGGACGCCTAAAGCTTATCATAAGATTATACGGCGATGTGTTCCCGTATTTTACACATATTCTCGCTTTGCCTGCTAACCTGCCAACCTGCTTTTGCCCAGCAATTATTCTCCTTTGCGCTCTGCCTGGATACGTCCATGTTTTTTGGTGTTCAAAACAGCT